TATTTATAAATATACATTTTGTATTTTTAATTTAACAATTCTTTAATAAAGCCTTATAGAAATATTCAATGAAGTTTTGATATTAAATTGTCAGCTTAATATTATTTTCTTAATAATTTTGAAGATTAAAAGTTTGTTATCTTTGTGTACGTTGTAAATTATGTGTCATTCTGATTGAATTGTTGATACTAATAAAATCTACTCAGTTCTATCTCCTACATTATTTGTGTAAATTAAGTACTTGTACATCGCACAGTGTCCATTGTATTGTATAATTAAATACATATCCCGACGTTCAGTGGCTTTATGAAAAATAATTAATATTGGTTACATATTTTGAAAATTTTGACAATTATGCGCATTTAAAAAAACATATACTTTTTGTGCCTAAATTTACGAGAGTGTTTTGTTTTTCCGAAGGTACAAATTAAACTTATGATGTGTTTAGATTTTAAACACATCTGCTGTTATGTGTTTAGAATTTAAACACTTGTGTTTATGTGTTTAGATATGTTTAATTTCTAAGCACGCAAGTGTTTAGATTCTAAACACTTTCTAAGACATGTTTGGGAATTTTACATGTTTAGAAATTAAACATATAAAAAAGGAGGTGACAAGAAAGTGTTTAGAAAAGTGTTTGAATTGTAAACACATTTTTTACAGTGTATATATTGGCAAAAATTATTGGGGGGGGGCGATTCGTACGGCCATGACACTGATCTTGTGGTTACGAAAAAGGAAAAAAAAAATCAGTTTTGTTAACTTCATAACACTGCAATAAAAAAAAAAAATCAGTTTTGTTAACTTCATAACACTGCGATAACTTATGAAATTCCATATACAACAGCCAACTGCTTACTGCCAACTGCTCACTGCTTACTGCCAACTGCTTACTGCCAACTGCCACACATATTTGAATAAATTTTCATATTCATATTGATATTTCCGTGAATTTTGATAAAACCATGCGCGGATCCAGGATTTTTTTCCAGGAGGGGTCCACCCCAGTAAAAGAAAATCCAACCCAGAAATTTCTTTACAAGAAAAAAAAAACGTAAACACCTTTCCAAAACGTGGAAAACCTATTTCGTGGTGGGGGTGGCATTTTATATAAATGCTTCATATCTGTGACTTCTCATACCAACTTAACACGGATCCGCGTTTTTTTTAGGGAGGAGGGGGGTCCAAGGTCACTTTTAGTTGGTTTAGTATATGCATTAAATAACTCTACATATTCCAAGGGGGTCCGGACCCCCTCCCCCTTTAGATCCGCGCATGTAGATTATAACTTATTTGGGAAAACAAAGAGATATTTATTAAGTCTTTATTAAGTCTTTAATTTAAGAAAATTTTTCACTATAGAAATTAACGGACAATGGAAATTGATTTTCAAAACATCTTTCCCCACAAAAAAAAAAAAAAAAAAAAAAAAAAAAAAAAATCCTTTTTTCAGTTTTTTGAATTAAAAACTTTATTTCACAAATTCTTTCCAAATGTTTTGTTGTCCTACGGGGTGGGGGGTGGGGGTGGGGGTGGGGTGGGGGTGCGGGGTTAAAGATTTATAACAGGAAAATAGTTATTTTATTTCCAATTTCAAATGAGATAACAAATTAAAAAAAAATGTACGTTATCACTTTATCAATCTCATATGTTGAATTTTACATAAGTTAAACATATAGTGAAATTTAAGAGTCATTTTTCCATTTCCATATTTGAAAATCTGGTGATGTTTTCAGCCTGATTTCAATTGATAAAATTTTCTACGACCTTAAGAAAGGAGTTGTAAATAAGAGCAATTAACTTTTTGTCACTGGTTTTTAAAATTAGGACTTTGAACTAATGAACTTTTCTTTGCATTCAAACAAGATTTAATGTCCAAATTGCCATTTATATTGATTGAAATAGATGGAAAATGTAGGCGGGAATCGAGAGTTAGCGTGCGTAGTTCTTACAATAATAACAAAATTTGGCGGATTTAGGAATTTTCAAACTGTAAAGGCAAGGAAAGAATAAATCGGAAGAAGGAGTATTTTCTCTTAAAAACAAAACATTTAATTTCTGCATTTCCTTGCAGGGGGTGGATGGATTCACAACTTCACAAACGACAAAAGAACAAATTTTTAGAAGGGTCTTGAGTAACATTTGTTGGTATATGTATTTATACTAGAAATATTACTGAAAATTATAATAGCATAACTTTTCCCTAGTGTAAAATAAATTTATATCTAGCAATATCTCTCGGTGTTTCTTTTTACCCTAGGAAAAGCACCTCTATTTGGGAATTTTTATATGTGTCTTATGTAAATCGTTTTAATGGCTAATGTTAGATCTGTAAAAACAAAAACGTTCGTGGTGGTGGTGGTGGTGGGGGGGGGGGGTTACCCACTAAATTTCCAACAATACATATACTATACAGTAGTACCGCCTCAATAAAGACGCCTGTGACTTTTTTTTATTTCTTGTCAAGAAGATGGGTGAACATGACGAGCGAAAAGCCTATAGTGTGACAAACATGAAGGTGAAAAATTAAATCTCAATTATATTAAAATTTTCCTTGATATTTCACTTAACATTAAAATATACTTTATGTAGAATCTCTACAATTTGCAATAATCCCTCAAAGATTGAAATTATTTGCCTATGAAATATTATACACACACTAAAGAGGGCAAAAAGAGTCATTTTCTCATACTATAACACTATTTTTCGATATGAGTGGGTCTTCGCGCCATTTTTTTGAAAGTTAATCCTCAAAGTTTGCATGAAAATATACATTTTTTGGTTACCAAAAATATGGAGAAAAGACCCACTATACCTTAAAAATATACTTTTTTGACACAACATTCGCATCTTTTCGAGAAATACTTGATGTCCATTAAGTCAAGGGTCATATCACAAACATGATTTAAATGCCACCCTTCATCAGGACTTGTGTAGTCTAGTGGTTAGCGTGCTAGTCTCGAAAGAAAATGATACTCAGAATTTTTATTGCTTTGGGTTCGAACCCCACGAATACCAAATTATTTTTTTTTATAAAAGAATAAACTTTGCCGAGAAAATTTTCCTCAGAAAAGTTTTGTTTATCATAATTCCATGAATTTCAATAATGAGAACTTTACTCTAAATACTAAATTCACAAATTGAACAAGATTTTTATGTATCTGAAGCTGTAGGCTTTCTGCACGCAATGTTCACCCATCTCCTTTAAGGGAATTATGTTGGGTTGTATCCCCCCCGCACTGAAATTGCTTTTCCTTACCTGAGATCAATTGTTTTTACATAGAGTAAAAGGCCTTTAGGCCAAAAGAAAAAATACCTTTGTTTCCCCTAACGCGACCGACCCACTGAAATCGTGCCGACTGAAAAGTTTTTTTCATAAGATTGTTCAAATATTTTTTAAATTGTTTAAATCACTTTATAAAATGCAATTTCATAAAATCCGTAATTTTTATCAGAACGTCTGCTTTCGTTTTACTCTCATTTGTTGCCCACAACATGTGACCACAGATGTGTTATAAAACAACGCGATGTATCAATCTTAATGTATATCTTTAACTTATTAGAATCCTACACTCTTGAAACATTTCCTGAATTAAATATACCATGACTACGGAGTGTTACAAATGTGTCTTCTAAAATTAACGTACGTAGTAAGCATGGCAAAGCCTGCCTCATCAGCATTATGAGGGCCCACCTGTATGCATATCAATATTGGCTTTAGTTCTTTCACTGCATTTCATTCGTTTCGATCTAATAAACACTTCATGTATGATTCTATTTTTACTAAATAGGACCATACCCCCCCCCCCCCGCAGTTTGTTATATTTTGGGGGGATATCCCCCTTTTCAAAACCATTGCTACTGCCTGTTTTTTAATTAAAATTTATAAACAACTGGTCACCTGACTTTCAGTTCTGACTACCACACAATCTCTAGTTATTATGAATTCCATATACGACAGCCAACTGCTTACCGCCAACTGCTCACTGCCAACTGCCACTGCTCATAGATGATATTGCCTGTTTTTGTTTGCTTCATGAAATATGCCGGCGTGAAGCGTCGTAGTTCATGTCCTCATGAATCTTCAAAAATTAAATTCATTTCTTAAAAAAATATAGTTTCATGATTTGTGAAACAATGATTAACAACTCTTAACTATGGTTAACGAATTCATCTAAATTATAGTTTACAAATGAGAATCTATATTTATCAGTATATTCTATCGTTAACGTTTATTTACCGACAGATAAACTTAGATTAGCATTCGTAAACTACACTTTACAAGTTTACAGATGAAAACTATAGTTAACGAATCGTTAACTGTAGTTTACAGTTCGTAAACTATAGTTTACAATGGACAAACCTAGTTTATCAACTGTTAAACTATGTTTATCTAATTTTTGTGAATTTGGCGTGCCATAACTATGGTTTACGAATGTAAATTATAGTTTACAAATGAGAATCTATATTTATCAGTAAAATCTATATAGACAAATAAACTTAGATTAGCATTCGTAAACTACGCTTTACAACCATTATAGTTTACAGTTCGTAAACTATAGTTTACAATCGAAAAACCTAGCTTATCAACTGTTAATTAAACTATAAGTTTATCTAATGCGTGTTAAGAAGAAGGCAATAGGGAATACAATCTATAAGCAGTGGCAGTGAGCAGTTGGCTGTAATTAAGAAGTTTGCAGGGACAGTAAACAGTTAGCTGTCGTCTATGGAACTCCATATCTTTATTTATTTATTTATTTTTATTTCAGCAATATTGTAAACTCTAAAGCGTCTTCTTTACAAATAAAACGTTTTTTTTTTAATTAAAAAAAATGCCTAAAAATTCATATATAATAATTCAGAACTAATATCGGTCTTTCAATGCCGAAACCATATTTTAAAAGGGATGTCTTTTAAAAAAAAAATAAAAATTGGTGTTGCATTCCTCAATTATACATCGGGCTCGTGAAGTCATATATTTCAAGGGAAATAACTCTCCTAGGAGATCGTAAACACATTCAAGATGGCGGCGAACACCGAGACGCAAAATACGACACTCTCAGATGACGAGCAAAAAACATTCTCAGGAGCAACTCTGCAAATTGATGGTGTTGACAACCAGACAGGAAATGAGCCTGGTGTAGAATTTACAGGACCCAATACCAATTTTAACAGAAATCGCCCCGGAAGTGTGTACGGAAGACAGAGTATCCGGAGTACAACCAGCCGCACCTCCGTCCGTCCAGGGGTGATCAAAGGCGACAATGAGGCAGAAACGTTCTTTAGCTACAAGGTTTTTTTTTTTTTTTTTTTTTTTTTTTAGACATAATTACCTTTCCCTTTTTAAAAAGGCTTACATGGTTCAACATGCAAGATAGCGGACATGAAAATATGAGTTTTTTTTGTTTTTTTTTAACACTTGCCTAAATTCGTTTGATACTAAAGACATACCATATCCAAATAAGACATATTTTTCAATGTTATAAATACTCTTCCATTGTAAATAAATTACCCAAACCCGAGCTGTTTCAAGGATGGCTACAAATTTACAAATTGTCCCCACCCACCCCCAAAAACAGAGTTTCGAATTAGTGAATTACTATTGATAATTGTTTTTTTTTTCCATTATGCTTCATCACTCATGAACAGAGAATTTTTTTTCCTTTCTGACATGATTGTAAACCCCTACTGTGATATTAAGTTGTGCAACGTAATATTGGTTTATGAGTCTAATGTACAGCTAGTTAATATGAAGAACTTCAGTAAAGAGAGAAAAAAAGTTCCATAAAGTGTGCTCGATAGTTTCCGGATTTTCTCCAACTGTCATTCCCTTAACTTTTTAATTGTCTGTAATCATGGTTTGGGCCATTGATATTGGCCTGGATAGATCAGTTGGTAGAGCGCCTGAGTAGTACAGGGGTCCCAGGTTTGATTCTTGGTTCATTTTCTCCTTACTTGTTACATAATTTGGTGCCATTTACCACTCCTGGAACTGCAGGTGAATATCTTGCCAGGGGCAAATAAGAACTTGGTTTTGTTTTCAAGGGTGAGGGTGAAGACAATTTATGGAGGGAGGAATGTAATGGTTTGGGCCATGGATGTTGGCCTGGGTAGCTCAGTTGGAATAGTGCCTTACTAGTGATACAGGGGTCCCAGGTTTGATTCACAGTCCAGTCATAAATTTTCTCTTTTCCTGTTAGAAGTAAATAGACTTTCATCAATTGGCAATAAAAAAGGTCAAGGAACTCGAGTTGGGGAAATCCCATGTTTAATATGGAGCTTATATTTAACTTGTTCACTCAATATTGTCTCTTGTAGCAAATGATTACAGGTTTGGGGGAAAAGGCCATAACATTTTGACATTTATTGAATTTGAAAAGAGGTACACAGATATCAGTATCTTTACAGTCCAAATAATGTTTTACCTTAATATTTTAACAGGAGGAAAACTTTAACAAAGCCCTTGAAACATGTAAAAAGACAATGAAGGATGATATTGATGGCGAGTTTGTTGGAGCTTGGCTGCTAACTGCGTAAGCTTTTTAAAATAATAAGGCATGCTGCAATTATAAAAAGTAAGGCCATCAATAAAAATATTTTTGTTTGATGTACTCCAACCCATATTTTTGAAGGTGGCTAGGTAGGTGGGTTTTTTTTTTTTTTTAGGAATTATCAAACACAATGATAAATGTTACAAAAATCACAGATTTACACATTTATTCGTCCATGACTCTTACCTAAACTTTATTAAACATAGTTTATATGTTTGTAAAATGCAGCAAAAACCAAAAAAGACATATGGATCCTAAAATTTTAAAGCATGTCAGACAATCTATATTTTTCTATAAACGAAAAAAAAAAAAAAATTAAAGTATTGAAAAAAAAAATGATCGGGTAGGGGCAATTTTGATGGGTTGGTCGGAGTACAAATACAAACAAAAATGTTTTTATTGTTGGATATATATGTCATTTTTGGGCTATAAAATGAAGTGACTTTTTCCATCCATTGATAACAAAATTAAACCAATAAATGTGCTTACCCAATCATAAAGAATTATCAGGAAAAAAAGCTTAAATTGCAACCCTTGCATTCTTTCTTTTGCTGATAAAAAAAGAAGAAAGAAAAATCCCTGTTATTACTTACATGAAAACTTTCTGAATAATGAATATAAATGTATGTATTTAATGTATATTGTTTATTTTAGTATTGACCACTGGGATAACGAGAGGGAACGTTTAATCATTCTGACCAAAAACTGTATGCTCATTTACAAGTATGACTTCATTCTTCACAAGATGGAAGATTACAAGAGAGTCATGCTTCATCTGATAGACACTATATGTGTGGGGGACTTTGTTTATCCTCCCAAAAGTCTGATGCCGTAAGTAAGAGAATGTTAGAGAAATTGTAAATCTCGGTCAATTCCTGCCTACTTTTCTCATCTTAGATGTTCAGCTTCCATTTATGTGTTTGCAAACATTGGTAAATTATGAAATATCACATGATAATGTTAAATCACATTGTGATTGTGTTTATAATTTAGTCAGGCATATGAGAACTATGTGTAGATAATATAAGTAAATTTTTGATCTGTTTACAAATCTGTTTAAACAATCTGTTTATAGACAAAAATGAATTTTCTCACAGATTGAGGCAACATGGGGGAATTCAGATTAAGTGGAGCCATGGGGAGGAACCATCCTGGGCTCAGTTGTGGAACCCCTGGTGTGAGTCTATCCCCTGGATCAACCTTGCCCACCACCCCCTTCTGTATAACCCCAAGGAATATGAGACGACCATTTACAATGTGGATGACTTTTACGAGTCCCTGATACAATGCATCAGTAACTGCTACAAAGAAAAACGACCAAGCGAGAAAATCACCATTGTTGAGGGTCCTATAATGATTGAGAGCTATGCAAGCCTGTCCTCTATGGTATTTAACCAGAGTGGACTTGGTTTCAACAGAGATAGGAAAGGCATTAGCTTCTAAGCTTTGCAAACATTGCTGCACAAACTACTCAAAGTTGGAAGTATTTCCTCTTCAAGCATAGCATTAATAGCTTTGAAATCCCAAACAACTGATATGGTTTAATATATTGAAATGGTAAACCTTTTCCATATTACAGCCTTTATAGCTTTTTTCCACTTGCTGCACTGCAAAATAACTGTGCTGATTATGAAGTATTATTGTAACACATACAATGAATGCTCTTAGAGATTTTCTTCATAAAGTTGAGTTATTGTATATTTCATATAGATTTGTGTACTACAAAAGAAGCTGTGATTTTATATTTTTCTTAAAAAACTGTATAACTGTCTTAGGTTTAAGGCCAATATCAGACTTGGTCATTGGTTCAGGCTGTTGTTCCCTACAGACAAAACATCTGCATATGAGACCACAGGCTATGTTCCTGTAATGATGCTGATTCTGAAGTGCTCTTTTATTTATTTCAAACTGATCACTTTTGTTGCTGTTTTTTTTTCCCCATCTAATTATGCTTGTTGTAAAATTTAGATAATCCAGTAAGCCCTCGATACACATTCCAGTGGTTTTCTTACTTCAACAAATTTCTCAGCCAGTAATTGTTTCTTGTCATAATGAACTGAATTTGTTTTTGATTTGACTTATAAGTTATCTGGTTTAAAGAAAAGGTGACATATTAAATTTCACAATATGGAAAGTAGATTTCATGACAGATTCTCTTCCATTTCATATCTGTATTTTTTCATCCAATGGGTGTCAATTAAGGTTATGTTTGCAAAGTTTTGTAAGCAGAGTTCGTCTTACATGCATAATGTTGATTTTATTTATTTGTTAACTTTCCTCATATCATATCATATATTCCACATGGGTTATTTCTATGGACATGTTTTATCTGCACTTGCCTATTCCTCTTTTAACCTGGTTCCCGAGGCCTTCTGAAGTGATTAGGAAGGCCTCAGGAGCCAGGGTAGTCTTCTTTCCTTGCTGCTTATTAATATTTTGTTTTATACTGGTACTTTTTTTTCCGGATGTTATTACATATAAGTGTGTACAATTATTGAAAGGGAAAGGTGTATTGTCATTGTTTAAAATGATTTTACTATACACATGTAATGTAATTGGAATATAATCTATCACCAAATGAACATGAAATTCAAAATAATTTTAAAAAGTGTATTTGATTATTTCAGAAGTTTGCTATGTGCAGCTTAATTGAAACAATAATTTCTTTATACTAGTAATGAGATCATTTAACATAAATTTTTTGCCGTACTTGCTTGAGTTGTGATGTGCCATTTAGATTTTATTACAGTAAGTAAGCATAGTATAGTATTTAATAAATAAATGTATTTCTCAATTTTATTCAATGGAAAGCTTTTTTCAAACTTTTGATTCTATGATCACTTTTATATTTATGCTAATGCTACTGTCATGTATCACATTTTGAATTTAAGGTTTTTGCACAATGTTGAAAAATGACATAGAAGTTTTATATTAAGAAACACTTAATAAATAGGCACACACACCTGTTGTCAGGTGAGTTTTTTTTTTCAAGTTTTAAAGCAAAAAAAATTGACAATGAACATTAAAAATATGCAGATTTTTTTTCACCAGCTTACATTTAAGCATACTTGGGGTAATTAGAATGTAAATTATTTCCAGGTCGTTCTGTAGATATTGAGTTTGTGTAAATATAAAGCTCCTTGTGATATACAGTATCTATTCTTTATATTCCGTTGTTATTGTTTGTGCCGAAATTCATACGCTTTTTCTGCTCTTAGGTACATTTTTAGTGCAATAACAAAGTGTGTGTGGGCTGTCCTGCAGTGTAATGATTTCAAAATCCTACACTGAATGATAACATTATAGTGCTATGACGGATCCTTTATTTCAGTGATTGGAGCAGTGGTTGATTTGTATCATTGTTCTTATTTTGTTCTTAAATTCCCAGTAAAGAAACTCAAACTTGAGGTCAGAAGATTTTCGACAGGAAAATGGATAGGACAGACATGAAATTATTGATCAAAAGTATTCATGGCACAGATATGTTTAACCCACTTTCCTGCAGTAGATTTTACCTATCCTTAAGAATGAAGCATATACTATTTGTATCCAAAAAAAAGTGAAACACATGATTGTTATGTCACAACTACTACTGCAGTTGCTGAAATGGAAAATCAGTCTTGGTATTGTCTTAGTGTACCAAAAGTAAAAGAGACTAATATAACAACCTTAAGTGTGGTGATTTTGATAAAAAAGGAGATATTTGACATTTCTTTATATTATCTTGGTTAAATTTTGAATAAATAAAGGTACATTTGGTATTGATTATTCTATATGAGAATGTTCCACTAAAAATAAGTTTCCCTTCAAATTATTTGTGCATGATGGAGTTTACCATATAACCTATGCACAGTTTAGTAATATATATATATATGTGTGTGATAGAGATTTGCCATGTTGTGTCACATATCATTTAATTTTTATGCTGTTTGCATTTAAATCAACTAAATTTAAAAAAAACAAACAACAAACAAACAAAATTAATGTTCGCCATCATGAAATTAAGAAAATTGACTTTATCTGTCAGTGTCAAAAAAATATCATTTGTTTCTGTTTGACCTCTGATATATTATGACATTTTATGTTCATTTTAGATGAAGATGATAGAATTCAGTTGTAATTATTGTTATTGTTTTGTAATGAATCTGTGAGAATAGATCAAAGTACATTGTTCTATGTTACATGTATTTTGTGTTCTTTTTAAAGTCATTTTATGCTTCTGAGCTAAAGGTTCAAAGAACCAATGCTATGCCATTTGTGTGGTGTATGCTGTGCGTAAACTTTTGGAAGATGGGCAATATCTCAAGAACCCCTTGGCCAATTTTTGTCTTTGTCACAGAGTATCCTTGGTTCAAGGGCTTTCATTTACAATAAAAATAGGAATGTGACTCTTACAAATAGGGAGATAATTAGGAAAATAAAAAACAAAAGTTGGTGGTTGCTAAAAAAATCTTCACGAGAACCACTGGGCAAATTATCACCAAACTTATGCATAAGGATGAGCATATGTTGTCAATCAAAGCATCGCCCTGGGACAAAGGGCATGGTCTCAAGGTCACTTCAAAGTTGACTTAAAATTATATTTTGTTAAAACTTTGATAAATTGCCCACTATAAGGACTAGGATCATCAAATCTTGCCAGTTGATGCATCTTAGGACTTAAAGTTGCCTCAGAAGTAGGTCATGGTGACCTACCGGTACTTTTTTAATTTTGCAAGTACATGTATTCAATTTCAATTTGTTGCCTGCGTGGCGCAGTGGTCAGAGCGTCTGCTCTAGATTCGCGAAGTAAGGAGTTGATCCTTACGTCGCGGGTTCGAATCCCACTGTGGGACGTGGAGACCGGTCCTTCGGATGAGACCGTATAAACCGAGGTCCCGTGTCGCAGTAGGTGCTGGCACGAAAAAGATCCCTCACTGCTCAATGGCCGTAAGTGCCGAGTATAGGACAAAATTTGCAGCTCTCCACCGTTAATTGGTGGCGTCTCCATATGAGTGAAAAATTCTCGAGAGGGACGTTAAACAACATACAAACAAACGAACAATCAATTTCAATTTGATTATAATGGATGATATCTTAGATCCTTTGAAGACTATAATCTTAAAAACTTGTCAGTTTATGCATCATGGGACCATAAAGTGTGTCAACCAATTAAAATAAGTCTTAGTACTGTGACGTACTTTCTCAATTTTGTGACTAAAATATTTAAGGTCGTTTTTCAAATACTGAGAAGTTTAGAATCATCAAACCTTGTCTGTAAGTTGACGCATCTTAGTTCCTTGAAACATATTTATGAAAAAAGTAGGTCATATTGACCTAATTTTTGAATTTTGTAGATATTCATTTTCAAATTGGTTTAGAGGCATATTTTGGACATTGAAGCCTATGATCATCAACCCTTGGCAGTTGATGCATCCGAAGGCCTCAGAGTAAATCAACCAAAAAAAAAAAGGAAAGAAAAAAAGGTCACAGAGCTCAACATTTGAATTTTTATGGCTATACATGTATTTAAATATTTCAGATACTAATTGGCTAAGAATCGTCAAACTTTGTCAAATGAGGCATCTTGAGTCCTCGGAGTGTATCAACCCAAAAGTTGGTCACTGTGACCTACTTTTGGAATCCATGGCTGCATTTAAATATTTTCAGATACTATTTGGCTTAGAATCATCAAACTTTGTCAGTTGGAGCATCTTGGGGTTTTCGGAGTGTGTCAATTAGAAAGTATGTCAGGGTGACCTACTTTTGGAATTTCAAGGTTATATCTAAATATTTCAAATTTGATACAGGAAGAAGCGTATTAATTTTATTAGTCTACAAATAAACACAAACTTCTCTGAAATAAACATGCATTATAAACGATTGCTCGAGAAGGGGATCGACGACTTTTACCCTGAGAAATGTAGCGGAGCTTATATCCGCTCAAGATCGATATGGATAGAAAAGGAGAAAAAAACTATTCTTACTTCTTAAATCTTGAAAAAAAAGCAACAATCTGACAATAAAATAAATAACATAAAAGATGAAAATCAAACAGAACATACAGATAATGAAGGAATTGTGGATTGCCTTATTAGTTCTATGAAAAAACTATATAAGATTAAAGATATATCTTAACAAGATATTCGAAATATAAAGTGCCCAAAAATCTCAGAAAACGAAAAGAGAGTACGGCATGTAAAACGTTGCATTATTATACTTTTTTGTTATTCCTATTCAAAAATTTTGTTATTCTAAAACATATCATTCCTATTCGATAAAATGTGATTCCTTTTCGATCAGTCGTATTCTTATACGGAAAGAAAGTGATTTCTATTGGATAATGTATCATTCCTATTCGATAAGTTTTTATTCCTATTTAAAACATGTGATTCCTATTCAATAATAAATGTTAAATGTATGATAAATAATAAATCTCCCGGACAAGACGGATTATCAGTAGAATTCTATAAAGTTTTCTGGAAAGATTTAAAAGATTTTTATAATGCTTCTCTTCTCAAAAGTATTGAAATAGGAATTTTTCTCAAAGAAATGGAGTAATCTCATTAATTTATATTAAAAAATGTGAGAACAACTCAATCTAACAATGTTGACTATAAAATATTTGCACACATATTAGTTAACCGTTTACAAAAGATAGCAGGTAAAATTATTAGACGTGAACAGAGTACATATATTGGTAAAATACACGACGGATTTTTAAATATCTTTGAATGCTATTCACATAATAATATAGATTGAATATTACTTTTCCTTGATTTTGAAAAAGCTTTTGATTCCATTGAATATAATTTTATACTTAAAATCTTGGAGAAGTTTAATTTCGGACCAAATTTCAAATTGATGATAAAAGGGCTTTATAATAAACCTATATTTAAAATAAAAAATAATGGGTGAATCTCAAAACCATGTACAATGCAAAGAGGAATCCGTCAAGGATTCACGGTATCTGCTCTATTGTTGTACTGGAAATATTAAGAAACGACAATGATATCAAAGGCATTTCATTTCAGAAAAATGTGACTACCATTGATGATCTCAAGATTGTGCAACATGCCGATGATTGCACAAATATGCTAGAAGATACACAGTCTTTCTAAAAAGCATTAAAATAGTTTCAGAATTTTCAAAAGTTGCTGGACCTAGACTTAATTAATTTACAAAAAAACGGAATGTCTATTAACTGGTTCATTGATAAATGAGTTCGCCGAATGATGAGACATAAATTGAGGGAGTCAAATTCGCGAAAACTTGTGTAAAATCTCTTGGTATTTATTTAGGGCATGATAAAGTTGAATGTTATGAAAATAAATGGACAAGTAAACTTAAAAAAAAAACTTGAAAAATGCTTAGTGTCTGGAGAAGACGAAATCTAACATTATTTCGGAAAATGTACATTATTAACACATTAGCTAATTCAAGATAATGTATAATACTTTCATATAACAAAATCGAAAAGTCGATTTAAAAAAAATATTTACATTTGCAAATGTTTTCTTTTATATAACACTATTAAAAGCAATGCGTATCTATATTAGGAATGACTCTAATTCTTGGCCAAATTATTCGAGTATAACCTGGTTTGGGTCAGTTTACGCTTTATAATCCGCGAAGCGGATTATAAAACAGCGTAAACTGACCCAAACCAGGTTATACTCGAATAATTTGGCCAAGAATTAGAGTCATTCCTTATAATTTAATTTTAAAATCATTAAATAACTATGGGTGTAAAATTTCGTTATACTTTTTATTAGTTCAAATTTGCCGCTCAATAATACAACCATAGTAACGGAAGTAACGGAAGTGATGGGAATCGAGGGGAGGTAAAAACTGATACATAGGCATAGCAGCCATGTTGTTTGGTTACATGTGGTAAGATCGAATTATTGTTTGAATTTAAAGGTACATTTATTAAATCTGGAATTTTCCATGAATCCCGAGGACTGGAAATGAGAGGATTGTATGGATACAGATGATTCAGCTGGTTGTCAGGGGGGTGTGTCCCCATACCAAACCAGGTTATACAGAAATAATTTGTGTTCCTTTTTGGATATTAACCAATCAGAGGCTAGAATACAAACAAAATTAAATTATATCCGTATAAACACGGGTTCCTCGCGTCATAAACGTTCGACGTAATTTCTCAGTGACGTCATAAAGGGTCGACGCGCAATCAACGGATCAAATACGTGCCGTTGGGTTTGAAAAATAAAACATTTCACGTAACATTTAAGAAATAATGTATCATTTTAAAACATCTATCGGGATATAAATACGGGTTGTTCACGAGATCAAATTCCATAAAGCCCGAATCCGAGTTTTTTAAAATGTTGAATCTGCCGAAGTTTTTACAGCATTTAACAGAGGTAAAATGCAAAGAAATACCAATAATTTAAAGAGAGACGAATTTTTAGGTGAATTTCCTTGGAATAATAAACTTTTCCAATTTAATTCAAAACCCCTGCGTTTTAAAAATTGGACACAAATTGATATTTTATACATTAAAGATATATTTGACGAACCAAGAGAAATATTTCTTGAACAAATTGAATAGAAAGAATATACCCTGTGAATACTATATGCTTAGAAAAGTTGTTTAAACAAGCATTCTGAGAGTATTGCATTAGCAATACTAGTCCCCTACCGGCAAGTGTAATCTGGATCCCGTTAAGAATTGAAAATGCCATAATTCCGTTAAAAATCACTGAAGCGGGACGAAATGCAAACTTGATCTATAACTAATAAAGGTAAAGTCACATACCAAAAATCAGCTCAATATCTGAAAGCGTTAAGAAGAAAATTGCGGAAAACCCGTAAAAATTGAAAAGGCCGTAATTCCGTCAAAAATCAATGAAGCGGAACAAATGCAAACTTGATCTGTAACTCATCAAGGTACACTCACATACCAAAAATCAGCTCAATATCTGCAAGCGTTTAGGAAAAAAGTGCGGAAAACCAAGTGGGACAGACTGACAGACAGACAGAGGGACAGACAGACAGACAGACGGACGGACAGACTCAGAGGAAACCTATAGTCCCCTCCGGTTTCACCGGTAGGGGACTAATAAAAACCAAGTGGGACAGACTGACAGACAGACAGAGGGACAGACAGACAGACGGACAGACAGACAGACAGACGGACGGACAGACTCAGAGGAAACCTATAGTCCCCTCCGGTTTCACCGGTAGGGGACTAATAAACAAAATTTTGACTGTTCATATGCCAAGTACGTGAAAGTAAAACTAAATGTACATTTTTTAATTTAAAAATAATGTTGTTAAATCTATACGATATACAAGAAGCAATTTTTATTCCTCAATTATTATTGATATGAAATTTCAAAAACCTTTGTTTGAAAACAGATGGAAAAGATTTTTTTAAATGTACATGTATTCGTAATTCTGACACATTCATGAGTGATTGTTCCATGGTACCTTCCTTAGTAATTTTTAAAATTAAACAAGCATTCTGAGAGTATTGCATGAGCAATACTAGTCCCCTACCGGCAAGTGTAATCTGGTTCTGTTCCCGTTAAGAATTGAAAATGCCATAATTCCGTCAAAAATTAATGAAGCGGGACGAAATGCAAACTTGATCTATGACTAATCAAGGTAAAGCCACATACCAAAAATCAGCTCAATATCTACAAGCGTTTAGAAGAAAATTGCGGAAAACCCGTAAAAATTGAAAAGGCCGTAATTCCGTCAAAAATCAATGAAGCGGAACGAAATGCAAACTTGATCTGTAACTCATCAAGATACACTCACATACCAAAAATCAGCTCAATATCTGCAAGCGTTTAGGAATAAAGTGCGGAAAACCAAGTGGGACAGACTGACAGAGGGACAGACAGACAGACAGACGGACGGACAGACTCAGAGGAAACCTATAGTCCCCTCCGGTTTCACCGGTAGGGGACTAATAATACACAGATAAAGTATATGAGTGAGGGAATCAGCAAGATTCCAATTCCCCGCGAGCAAGCCTATTCTCCCCTCCCCGCTTCGTCTCGGGAAATACCGTAGACATATTTGCGGGGAACTTGAATCTCACCGATAACCGATACAGACAATAATGGATTTTCAAGATCATATCAGCAATTTCTTAAGAGTTATTCGATGCTCCGAATAGATGTGTATCCAAACAGGCACACCTTTTTACAGAGAATCTTTTTTTTTACGACGATATTATTTGGAATCGGCAAAATATAATGATTTATAGTGAAATTAAAGATATACTAGTAACAAGCATTCTCAGAGTATTGCATTAGCAATACTAGTCCCGTACCGGCAAGTGTAATCTGGTTCCCGTTAAAAATTGAAAATGCCATAATTCCGTCAAAAATCAATGAAGCGGGACGAAATGCAAACTTGATCTATAACTAATCAAGGTAAAGTCACATACCAAAAATCAGCTCAATATCTGAAAGCGTTTAGAAGAAAATTGCGGAAAACCCCTAGAAATTGAAAAGGCCGTAATTCCGTCAAAAATCAATGAAGCGGAACGAAATGCAAACTTGATCTGTAACTCATCAAGATACTCTTACATACCAAAAATCAGCTCAATATCTGCAAGCGTTTAGAAGAAAAGTGCGGAAAACCAAGTGGGACAGACTGACAGACAGACAGACAGACAGACGGACGGACAGACTCAGAGGAAACCTATAGTCCCCTCCGGTTTCACCGGTAGGGGACTAATAATAAAGCACATGTATCAAGTACAAAGTTACATTTCCTTTGACAGCGGGGTCCTCCATCATCAATTCTGCTTTAAACCAGAGCCTACTCATTAGCTCAGAGCAAAGTTCTGAGGAATATACACATATTTTTATCATGTATATACATGTACATATCCTTAAATGTGACAATTCAGTATTTATTAAAGATCCAGATTTAAGCCATTATATTGTATCTCTCATCATAAGACTTTCGTGCATGTTTTTTTTGAGATTTTATCAAAAATCTATTTTATTAGTCCCCTACCGGTGAAACCGGAGGGGACTATAGGTTTTTTGTTTTTATTAGTGGAATTCTAAGCTTTGATTCAAAATACATGCATGAAGTTTATATGATAAAACTTTGCTGATTATAATGTACGTTAGAAGAAAATTTGAATACAAGAAGAAAGGAACAAAAGAAATAGAGTGGGGCCCAGGGATTTGGAATCACTAGTGAGTCTGGATTCTTTATCACAACTGTCTCTGTAATCACCAATACATGAAGCATACTGAATCACGTGGGCAATGTAATGCTGCTCATGAACGCCATGAAGAAGATGTGACATGGGACCCTGAGCAAATATCCCGACATCCTCCGCGCTGTGAGTCTCGTATGCCAGCGGTACAGCAGACTGTTGGACGTAGTTATTAGCATCTGAAACAAGAAAGTGAACGACCATAAGATCAGCAGGTTTCTAAGTTTAATTAAGATGTTTTTAGTGCCATGACCTTTATTTTAAAAGTTTGAGTAATATTTTATAATACCTGTAGCAACTCCTGTTAGGTTTTGTCTGTCTTCATTCCAGCCCGGACCATTGCCGTATACAAGAGCTGTGTAAGGTTTTTTGTCCAAAGGAGGTTCTATCTCAACAGCTTCATCATCCACCAAGCCTACAAAACAGTTCGAATTGACTTGTTAAAGAAGACTATGGTAAAAAATAACATCTAAAAAGTTTTATTATTTTTTTAGAGTTTGAATTAAAACTGAAAATTTTATAAACCTAAGACGTCATTTCCTCGTTTAGTGTAACCAGCCAATGAAAAGGCATGAGAATGGTCTGCAGTTACAATGATAAGAGTTTCCTGTGGATTGGTCAAAGAAACGGCTTCTTTCACTGCTCTCTCGAACTCAAGAGTGTCTTCTAACGCTATCTTTGCGAGACTGTCGTGGTGAGCTATATCTATTTTTGCGCCTATGTAGGAAAAATTTCAAATAAATGAGACAATTGGAGATGCTTTGTAACCTACAATTCAAGATCTAATATCTTTAAAATGCATCATTTGGACAGTTCTTACAAAGAGGTCAATAAAGAAGAATATTTCACCTTCAGCAAGCAAGACGAATCCTTTTTTATTTTTCTGAAGAATTTTAATGGCTTTTGATGTCATTTCCGTCAAAGAAGGTTCGCCATGTCCAGAATTATTCCGCTCGATTTCGTAGGCCATATGCGATGGACTAAACAACCCTTAAATAAACACAAGAAAATTATATTATATCACATAAATTATATTATATTTATATTTTATTATATTTGAAACTAAAAAATAGTATAATTTTCCATGTAGACACACTGTGACAACATGACAAATTTATTCATTAAACCCGCACTTCTAATGAAAGTTCGGGTAAATTGTTATTGTCTAGGTTCGTACGTCTGTCACACTTTCTGCTTCCTCAAGATAGCTGTAAGCAGTAACCAATTCATGTTTTGGAATGTGATCGTTGGTATCCTGTAGATGTTCAGTAAGGTTTCAGAATTCTCATTTTCATCCTTCGGGCCAAATAGGAGTTGAAAAAACCTGGTCTTAGGATCAAGAAACCAATTAACTTAGACTTAAGTCAAATTTTCAGTGGTCTGTAAATTGTTTATAAATTATTGAATTAATCTCTAAATTTGCAGTTAACATCACTTTTGTAAAGCAGTATTGTAAAATATTTTAATTTTGCTCTGTTTGACTTCTACAGCATTTTTGTACAACATAAAGATTTTGACTTAAGCTTAAGATGTTTCATGATCCTGGGGCCTGGTTCCCAGAACTCTTCATACATTTTACGCTGTACAACTTTTGCTAGATGATTGGGGGTGTGTTGCAGGTGTGCAATAAGGGTTTCAGAATTTTCTTTTTCGCCCTGGGGGGACAAAATGGGGGTCTAAAAACGACGCTTTTCATTTTACAAAAACCTGGTTCCCAAAACTTCTCATACATTTTACTCAGTAGTCATCTTTATAAGATGATTGGGGGTGTTCTGCAGATGTGCAATAAGGTTCGGAATTCTCATTTTTAACCTTGGGCGCCCCCAGGGAGGGGGGAGGTCGATAAATGATGTTTTCAGTTTCCAGTTTGGGCCAATTTTTTTTACAGAAAAATATTTTTTCTGAAACTCCTTCTTTTAAATTCAGAATTTACTTCATTAAAATCTTTAATTTCAGAGTGGTAATGAATTTATTATTTGAAATACTAACATAAGAGACCCATTGCCTCCTTGCTCACCTGTGCATTTTATGCTCAATTTGATATTTGTACATTCATACACATTTAATGTGAATTATTGAATAACTTTTGTAGCTTCTTCACTACTCAGGCACAAGGGACAAGCATTCACTTAGAGACAGACACTTGTGTGCGGATATTACTGTTAGATGACAGCAGCTACAGTTCATATTATTATCATGTAATCAGAAACGAATTAATCCTTTACCCAGAACATAATCAACATCTTTCTCGTCGATGCTATCGAAATCGTCTTTCTTCCAGACATATTTATGCTTCCGGTTCTGCGCAGTCTGTATCGCTTGCCATTCTTCAACCAAGTTCCTGTTATCCAGTCTTTTATTTACATTAGTAGCCCCTGTTTCCGGGTCAGAAAAGTTTTTGGGATAAAACGCTCTCCGCCCTCCTCCAAGATATACCTATGGGATGAAATTTAACGATAGTTCAGTTTAAAATGCTTTGATGCCGAAAGGTTTAATTTATAGACATAAAATGAGCTTTTGTTCAAACACTGATAATGGAAATTATAGTTTTAACTTGTACACATTTGTCAAATAGTTTGGAAATAATTTTAAAAAGTATGATGTATAAGTACTGCCAAAAAGCAAGTACAAGTACCGGTACTCAGTAATTAAAAAAGAGTACTTTTTACATTTAAATCCAATGACCTAAGGCTTGATCTTTGAGAGATCACATTGCTAAAAACAGGTCTACTGAGCAACAGTATTATAAAGTTTGAACCATACCATCCAAGAATTAAACATCTTAGATAAAACATACGGCAGAAAAACATTCAAAAATATTATATGGAGATATGAATGTTGTATAAAAAGAAATCGTCATAATGGTTAGCTTTTAATAGCTAAGGAATACCCTAACTTACTAATCGCAATGTCGGCTTCAATCGCATGTGAACATTACCATTTCTGTAACAGTGCTATGTACTACAGAACAGGATACCTGTATGTCGTTGTTGCTGTGCACTAGCTGGTAGGCGATGTCACGGCATACTCCATTCGCCTCCTGGGTGAGGTCGGCGTCCGACTCCCAATTCCTGTGGGCCGAGTGCGCATAGGTGGAGGCCGGAGTGGCATGTGTGATCCGCGCCGTGGTCACGACTCCTGTAGACTTACCTGCAAAACAACGTAGGTCCATAGTAGGTTATTCAAAGTATCGTGCAGAATAATGTATACATCTTTGTCTATACATCAGTTCTCTTCATTGCCTTTTACTTCTAATCATAAAAGTATTTTCAACGTGAAGCAAAACAGTGAAAAGCAAGTGTAACGCAAATATTAACATCCCTGTGCAACTTGATTTCACCGAAATGATATTCGTACTATCAAAACCAGTCGCTGTCTATTAGAATCATTCCAGTCACAGGATCAAGTTTGGTCTAGGTAGGGCTTATAATTACTTGGAAATGGACCTGATCCGCGAACTTTAACTTTGTGATTCATCTGGAAAAGTAGGTCAGATCCAGCACCAAAAGAAGTCTGTTAGTGTCCATCCCTAGATGTATCATCCATTAACGTTTGGTCCAGATAGGGCTTTTAGTTACTTGAGAATGGATTTGCTCCTAAAACTTTAACCGGGACGCCAACGTACGGGGAATACGAGTATATTAAAGGCAACGTAGTTTGAACTTTATTGTCTTTTTCCCTGGAGTTGAAGAGTTCCAATACTTGAAGGTACTGTGTGCTACATAATATCTGTATATGTTGTTGTACACTTCTTCTAAAACAGGTTTGGATAAACAAAACATCTAGAATACATGTTTAGTAATTTTTGTTTATTTTTCTTTGAATTATACAAGAATTTTCATCAATTTACATCTTTTCAAAACCCCTGGCAATGTATACTGATTTTTTGTTTACGAACATCTAATGGCACCATAATAAATTAAGAATATCTTGAAAAATTGTCAGTAGGTAAGATACATTGCGTATGTCCTTAAGCTCATTTCGACTTCGCTGTAGTCGGCTAAAATGTGTCCACACATAATGATCATTGCACTTATGTACCACTCTCCTAGACTTAAACTTTAAACTTTTGACCCTTAAATCAGCAGTGAAATTTAACATAAGTATGCTATTGAAGGGTTCAGTGCACTCTTCATATATTTATATGTATAATGCATAAGCGTCGGAAGCAAATTGATTGATTGTATGTTGTTTTACGTCTCATTCGAGAAATTTTTTCACTCATATAGAGACGTCACCATATACCGGTGAAGGGCTTCAAATTTTGACCTTACTCGGCACTCAGGGCCATTGAGCAGTGAGGGGTCTTTATCGTGCCAACGCCTGCCGTGACACGGGGCCTCGATCTTTAAGGTCTCATCCGAAGTACCCGCAACTTTCACTTCAAAGTGTCGAGCGCATGGCGAAGAAATAGTTGCTTCACTTTTTTATTGACTTAGGTCAGTCGCGGCCGAGATTCGAACTCACGACCTCCCGATCACGGAGCGAGCACTCTACCGACTTAGCTACCGTGAACTGTGTGAAGCAAATTGAAAGTGGGGGAGGGCTAATTGAAAGGGGGGTAAACAAAAAAAAAAATCGTTTGGCGACTAAGCTCCAATTTTCAATGCCTATATTATGTCTATCTTTGCAAAAAGAAAAGTGGGGGGTTAAACCCCCCCCCCCCGCATCCGGTTCCGACGCCTATGCAATGATATATGTCGAATAATGTGCATATTAGCAAGTATGGTATGAAATTAAAGGATAGAGGGATAATCTCCAAAACTCGACCAAGATGTCTCTGGGAAAATTATGAGAGACAGATTTTTAATGCACTCACCATCATCCTGGGCTTTTCTTATGACAGATTTTACTTTGGCAGAATCCCCTAATTCTACTAATTTCGCACAGTCTTGACCCTTGATACTGTCCGTGACCCCAACCGTCTTATAATTGACCTTGACTCCTCCTAAAATAGCCGTTGCCGTTTGGGCTGAATCTGGAACTTGTTTATCAGATCCATATATCTACAACAAAATACTTAATTACTTTTCTCATCCACTTTATTGAATTGTCCTTATATGTATATATTATTGAAACATATATGCGGTGTTTTTCTTTAATCTTTCAAAACTGATAAATTCTATACAGCATAATTATTCGTATGTAATTTTCACAAAACATCTATCGTGGCAAAAAAAAAAATTATATGAAGTTATGAATACATGTTCAACTACTCATACACTATAGTAAATTAATTCTATGTTCCAAAACAAAATGAAATTTTAAGAGAAATCAGAAAGCTCATATTTCTCAAGCTCTTGCCTAAACAACAATTCACCAAAATCATTGTTAAAATTTCCAAATTGAAATGATTCAATTCCATAACGTATTCTTTCACAACATCGATTAATAATGATTCCTGACATAAGCGTCATCAGGTAGGTAACAAATTGACGTCTCGTATTTTCTTGATTTTTTTTTGAAAGTTTGTAGCATCTGTCCTAAATAAAGACAACACTGACCTACTTCAACTTATGGTGTATGATATCTTCCATTTCATATATCCATGCATTAAAACAAGAGGCCCATGGGCCACATCGCTCAACAGAGCACATTGGCTAGGAAAAAAGCAAAAATCAGTTCAGTATTGAAAAGTTTACATAGGGGAGGGGGGCTTGAATTTTAAACTATCTGATGATGCTTTCATATCAATATAACAAATGGCTTTGCTGTTTTTGAGCAGCAGATTTTTTCCCATATATTCCTTTGTAAAAATTTGATCCCCCATTGTGACCCCACCCTACCCCCGGGGGCCCTCATTTGAATAAATTTTATTCTACACAACCCGAGGATGCCTCCATATCAATATGATTAATCATGGCTTTTCTGTTCTTGATAAAAAAGATTTTTCTTATGTATTCCTTTGTAAAACTTTGATCCACCATTGTGGCCCCACCCTAATCCCGGGGGGTCATGACTTGAACAAACTTGAATCTACACTTCTGAGGATGCTTCCATATAAATATGACCAATCATGGCTTTGCTGTTCTTGAGAAGATTTTTAAAGTTTTTTCCTATATACTCCTATGAAAAACTTTGATCACCCATTGTGGCCCACCCTATCTCGGGGGGTCATGACTTGAATCTACACTACCTGAGGATGCTTCCATTAAAATATGACCAATAATAACTTTGCTGTTCTTTAGAAGAAGAGATTTAAAGAATTTTCGTACGTATTCCTATGCTAAACTTTGATCACCCGTTCTGGCCCCACCCTACCCCCGGGGGTCATGATTTGAACAAAATTGAATCCATACTTCCTGAGGATGCTTCCATACAAGTATGAACAATCATGGCTTTGCTGTTCTTAAGAAGAAGATTTTTAAAGATATTTTCCTATATATTTCTATGTAAAATTTTGACCCCCCATTGTGGCCCCACCCTACCCCCGAGGGTCATGATTTGAACAAGCTTGAATCTGCACTTCCTGAGGATGCTTCCATATAAATATGACCAATCATGGCTTTGCTGTTCTTGAGAAGAGGATTTTTAAAGATTTTTCTTATGTATTATTATGTAAAACTTTGATCCCCCATTGTGGCCCACCCTACCCCCGGGGGTCATGATTTGAAGAAACTTGAATCTACACTACCTGAGGATGTTTCTAAATAAGTTTCTTCTTTCCTGGCCCAGTGGTTCTTGAGAAGAAGATTTTTAAATGATGCCATTATTTTTTCTTTAATTCCTTATTATCTCCCCTTGAAAGAGGGCGTGGTCCTTCATTTGAAGAAACATGAATCCCCTTTACCCAAGGATACTTTGTGGCAAGTTTGGTGGAAATTGGCCCAGTGGTTCTTGAGAAGAAGTCGAAAATGTGAAAAGTTTACAAACAGACAGACAGCTAAATAAACAGACGGACAGCTATACGGACGCCGGACAAAATGTGATCAGAAAAGCTCACTAGCTCAGGTGAGCTAAAACGTGATCTCTTAAAATGAATTGTTTCTCTCCTTTAAAGAAATTTTACCAGCATTTACTCCTCTCAAAAAAAAAAAAAAAAAAAAAAAAGAATTGGTCAAATATATCTTCAATTTATTAAAGAAAACAACAATTCATTTGTAACTATACACAACTCAGATTAAATTAATTTCTGAGAGCAGTAATTCTACCGCACTCTTTAGCTAAACGATTGAAATGCACGCATCAAATAGATTAATGTTCGCAACAATTCATATAACGAGAGCAATAATTAAGCTATTGCACGCATCAACTCAATTATAAATCTCCCAATTCAATAAATGTGAGCATTAAGGAAAAAAAAATCTCTTTAAAGATGTATATATTTATTAAGGTTGTTGCAAAGTGATTACAGATTTCCTCTATAAACTTTACATTCCATTAAAGCTCTCTTCAAAAAACAATATCAGAAGATGCTATGGATGAATGGTTACCACGGCAACAGTCCCAAAGTTCGGAAAAAACAACAAAATGTAAATGAAATCTTACTGCATGTTCTTGGAGCAATGTGGAACTATGATCATTGCTAAAACGAAGTTTAAGACATGTAATTAAAGTGTATAAATTGGTTTCTAAAAAGACCAAGAAAACACACGGAGTTTAGTGTTATTATGGAAATAAGATGAAAAAGTCTGCTTCTATACCTTTTTAGGATTGTTCAACGTTCTCTTTTAATGGTAATTTATAAACTCTTTCCCACCTACGTCCCATTCAACAATTTTTCACTCTTGTAGAGACGTCACCGTAAAACGGCGAAGGGCTTAATTCAAATTTAGACCTATACTCGACACTCAAATGTTTTACAGGTATAATATGAATAGGGTCCTTTATCGTGCCAAAGCCTACCGTCATGTTGTAAATTTTGAATTTACTGCCACCCGGTAAATTCAAAATTTACAAAATGACACTACCATGACACACAACCTCGGTTTTTAAGGTCTCATTCGAAAGACCCGTGACTTTCACTTCAAATGCGCTTGCCGAAGAAACAGTCAGTACTAGGTTTACGTCTTATGTTTGACGCGGCGCGGCGAACGAGAATCGAACCCGGGCCTCCCGATTACGACGCGAACGTAAAAATAAAAATGTAATCATGCTAATTGAAAAAAAATATGTCAAAGCTTATCAAATATAGGTTAAAGATTCTGTTAATCTTTGCGTTTATCAGAATTTGATAATGCTTGCTTTTAAATGCAAGAAATCATAAAGATTGTTACCATGACAATCAAGAGACCTGCAAGCAAGTTATAAATGTATTGCTTTTTGTGGGATCTTTAGATGTCTTTTGTTTATTATTCTTATAAATAGTAGAAACTAAATATAATCTCAATTTCTTTCAAACATAACCATTGTTACGACTATATATACATTAATTTAATTAGTTTTCCCTAAAATTTCTCTTTTTTTAAGACCTAAAGTAATGACTGTTTTTTTCTATATATGTTCTATATAAAAAAAACGATGAAAACAGAAATCCAAAGAACCAACCCTTGCTGGCATTTAAACACTTTAGGAGTACAAATATCATATAAATATCCTGAAATTTTCAAATTGTATTTTGAATAGCTCTGAGAAATGCATAAAACTGGTCAGGAAATATCAGTTAATGATAATTCAATAAGAACTGGAAGGGACTTCAGCAGAAAATCTCTCCGATATCAGTGTCAAATAACGACCATTTGGTTTAAATTGATTTGATAGATTTTAAGAAATTGAATTCACAAAATTTGGGGAGAAATTAATTATAGTAAAAAACAACATTAAATACACAACTGAACAAGGTCTTTCGTTGACTTATCAATACATGTATACCCCCCCCCCCCCAAAAAAAAAAAAGAAAACCCCAACAAACTATGCAACAGAAGTATTCGGAAAGTTACATCCCTCTCTCTCTCTCTCTCTAATATATATATATATATATATATATATATATATATATATATATATATATATATATATATATATATATATATATATATATGTGTGTGTGTGTGTGTGTGTGTGTGTGTGTGTGTGTGAGGGAGAGGGTGTGTGTGTGTGTGTGTGAGAGTGTGTGTGTGTGTGTGTAACTTTCCGAACACATTTTCCTATACAACACCAGTATGTATATTATCCGAGGAGCTGTCGATGATATTTGTCATGGCATTAGTGGACACTAGCACAGCAGTGACAAAGACGATATACGATGCTATGAACGAACGTAATAAGTTGGAGCTAAACAGCTGCTAAATGAAACCAACAAGATATTCTAATGACTTCAGTCACTTTCCTTGATATCCATGACAACACATTGGTTCATGTTATGTTTGGAAACAAAATTCTAATTCAGACAGTGATAGTATGTAGTATAGCAAATAATACAGTATAGATGTTGTGTTTGAAGGCTATATAATAGAGGAGCCGTGTACACTTTCAATAAAAAATGGACCTAAGGAAAAACAGATAGTTTAAGGATTTTTATTTTTCTTTAACTTTACCACGAGTTTAAACTGCATATTCTAAAAAAATAATTGCTAACACATTTGCATCATTGTGTTTACCAGTCATAACAATTAAAAGTGACGTCATCGATACATAGTTCGAAACGTGCGGCTGCGTCAAGTTTGAGGACGATTTTAGGGTACGGACGAATTTAGGGTATACGACGATATATATGTGAAATTAAGGTAAAAGTCTTAGATTTGAGGATAAAAATCATACCTTGGAAGTCGACGGGTGAATAGGGATTTCAGGATAGAGCATCTGGCACTATATCGTTTAGCTGCAATAATGTAGCCCTCTCCGATTTTTTTTAATCTGATATTTTCAGGAGAGGGCTACAATTCCACTGCATCTCCGTAATGGTGCAAATATATTTTTTAGATACGGGCGACTGCAGACAAAATAAATTGTTTTTGCATTCAACTTACTTCCAATAAGACGGAATTTTTATTCACTATCAACATCATAGCCCATTATACGCGAAAACCAAGTAAAATAAATTTGCGTGTTTCCCAGTCGTTCTCCT